TGGTTATTGCTCTGGATCACCCAAATTTTATCAGTTAGGGACCTTTCTGTTCCGATCGCATTGCATCAGCCATGACTGAACTGATTCGAATGGGTTCAAAGCCCTGGTTGAAAGAGGCTGCAGTTTAGAAACTGATAGGTGTTGTGGGCCCAATGAATTTTGGGAAAATGATCACACTCACATTTCTAGTTTTCTGAAAAGCTGTTTTTCATAAAAACTTGTGTTATCTCACTTGTAGCATGTGGCCCTTTAATGAAGACTTTTAATTTCATGGTGGAGTATTACATCAGTGTATAGAGCCATGTGGCCTCAGAGTCTCAGAACTGTGAATGTCATCACCGTGGACATTGTTTGCAGCGGCAGAAGCCCAGGCCAGTGTCTGGCACTGACTGCTCTGGGTACTGTTGTGTGGAGGCCAGTCCTAGAATATGAAATGTCTAGCATCTCCTAAGCTCCACTAGATGGCAAATAAATATGAGCAGGGCATGGTGTTACTCTACCACTTCAGTGACTGATATGTGTAGTAACTTATCTTCTGAGCTTAAGCACTTATTTCTTATTTTGACCAGGCTACAGTCTTGATAGTGAACTGGACTTTTGGGAGGGACTTTGGCATTTTACATTTTAATAAACTGTTCAGTCCTGTCTCTTTTGGTAATTGAAGGGCTCTGTGGATGGTGGGAGGAGTCTCTGAATGGCAAATGGTTAAACACTCAGCTACTAACTGAAAGGTTGATGGTTCACATCTACCTAGAGGCACCTCAGAAGAAAGGCCTAGCAATCTACTGCTGAAAAGTCATTGAAAACTCTATGGAGCACAGTTCTACTGTGGCACGTATAGGGTTGCCATGAGTTGGAATCGACTTGATGGCAACTGGTTTGGTTTTTGGTGAATGGTGGGATGGGAATGTAGCTTATACATATAGGATTCCTGGGGGGGTTGCTTTGTCAAAGTACACTTCTCACTTGCCTCCTCTCCCAAAGGGCAACAAACTCTCTTGGGAGGTGGCCACCAATGGGCAGGTGTTTTCGGAAGAAGCTGCCCAAGGGATTCTGTTCAGCATAGTGAAGGACTCATGGATCTGAGAGTTGCTATTCTAAGTTTCTGGTCCTTTTTCACTAGTTTTTTGGGTATTTTACAGATTTGAAGCACAGCTTGCTATGACTACTATGCCTTAGTGGTTTATTTATATTTTTTGTTCATCTGCTGTGTGCTCATGATGTTACAGCTCTGTCCGTTCAGTAATGGAGTGCCAAGTACTGAAGAGGAGGGTGATGACCATCTCCATGCCTCTTCCAGACTGTAAACTCCTTGCAGGCACTCTTTGTCTTATTTATGTTGTTTCTTCTTGTCCATTTCCCTAGCATCTGGCACATGCCTTGCACATAGTAGGTATCCTCTAGGTGTTTAATGATGGGATGCCACAAGGGTTCTGCACATAGATTTTACAAGAAGAGCTGTGCTTCGGTTTGTGAGTCTGGGCTTGGAGTGATTTTATTTATTTAATCCTCAGGCCATGCTTGACATGTCACTTGTGGTTCTGCCCCTTGTAGTCTGGGCCCTATGATACCTCTAATTTCTGCATTAGATTGTTACATAATGATAGGCTCTGCATTGTCACATGACATTTTTGGATTAGGGCAGTACAGACGTGGCTCTAGACCCTTATGGCGGTGACAGTGCTTGCCTGTTGCTGATAATCAGTGGCCATAGCTGATTGTTGTTTTTGTTAGCCACCGTCACGTTGGCCCTTGACTCATGGTGACCCCATGCACTGCAGGATTGCTATTGTGATCCATAGGGTTTTTGTTGGCTAATTTTCAGAAGTGGATCACTAGGCCTTTTTCTTCCTAGTCTGTAAGCTCCACTGGAACCTGTTCAGCATTATAAGAACATGCAGGCCTCCATTGACTGTCCATGAGGTGCATTGGCTGGGACTCAAACCTGGGTCTCCTACACGAAAGATGAGAATTCTACCACTGAACCACCACTGCTTTCAGTTTGTAGCTGCTTGGCAGTAGGTGCTCTAAGTAGCGGTTGATTCTGCCAAGGGGAATCACCCATACTTTGACAAAGTTTATATTTTTAATGTTTGCTGCACAACCTGTATTGCAGCTGCAGTAATGAGTTCTTTACAGATGACTTAAAAAAATAAAAATCCAGTTCCTATTGAGTCAGCTCCAACTCATGGTTGCCCCATGTGTGTCAGAATAGAACTGTGCTCCACAGGATTTTCAATGGCTGATTTTTTGGAAGTAGATCACCAGGACTTTCTTCTACGGTACCACTGGGTGGATTCGAAACTCCAGCCTTTGGGTTAGTAGCCAAATGTGTAAACCTTTGTACTATGCAGGTGACTAGTGGAAGAGAGTTCTGTCACAGGCAAAGTCATAAAGTTATACTGTAAGACCAGACCACTGTCTGCCTTAAAGGCTGCTGGGACACTGAGCCCAGGTGGTAGTTTGTGATCCTACACCTAAGGATTTCACAGGGAGAAGAGAGGAAGTGGGAGTGGAGTGGAAGAGTTGAGAGAAGGAAAGATACTGAGGGGTTGTCGTTACACTTTTCTTCATTTAGAGTGAGGTGTCCTGTGGATCCAGGACAGCACCACACATGGCATGGGCTGCTGGCACGCTCACTCTTCTTTTTTCCTGGTGGATGTGGACTTCTTGGGGCACTTCGTACTCTGGCTTCTGAATGGTGGCTGGGTTGGTGCGGCATCTTTCACTTGCTCCTACTGCAGCTGTCACCTTTGTTTTCCTCTGCAGCACACATGTCAAATGATGCTGCCAGGTATGTTACTCCTTTAGGGTTTCTGAGGGCTGTGGCAGGTTGCTGCATGCTATCCAGGAATGCACACTGGAATGGAAGTCAAGTGAGAATGGCATTCTACAGGGATGATTTTAATCTGTTTTATTTATATTTTTAGATAAGCCATTTACAAACATCATAACTTTTTTTTTTTTTTGACAGATTACATGTACATCTCACAATGATTACCAAACATCAGTGGGTTGGAGTTCCATGGTTGAACCTTCCTGGTTCAGGAATCAGAGCAGGAAGCCATAGGACCAAGCTGCTAGCCAGTTAAGAACAGGAGAAAACCCACACTGTATGTCTTAAGGATGGGAGTGTAGTATAAGGGCAACTTATAGAAGTTTTTGCAAATGGCCATCTGTGTGGTGGTGCTATTTTATGTTACATGGCTTCACGGCTCCTAGAACTGCTGTCTGCCAGAAAGGCTTTGGGTATTCTATGCCTTAGACAAGTTTAGTTTTCCAGTCCTTGAGCAATTAAATGTGAGATGGGCTCCTGCTATCTCCTTCACAACACCTTTAATTGGCAAAATGACAATCAGTTCTACTTTTATTACTGTTTTTTAATCCAAGTGCCTGTGTGACTGACAGTTTAGGAACTCAGAGCTAACTTTTACATGACTCAGGGTTTCTTCATGAAGGAGAAGTGAGAGGCATATATCCTTCCTTCTCTTTTTGAAAACACAAATAACTTTGTTTTTACTATAAATATTTTTTCTAGCTATAAAAGTGGTGTCCATTCACTGTTACTGGTATCACTGCCAAAACCAAACAACCAAACTCACTGCTGTCTAGTCGATTTGACTCATAGCGACCCCCTAAGGCATTTGACTGCTAACCAGAAGGCTGGTGGTTCAAACTCACCAGCCACTCCTCTGAAGGAAGGTTGGACAGTCTACTTCCGAAGTGATACTGCCCCGGAAACCCAAGGAGGGTTTGCTATGAGTCGGATCTAACTTGGTGGCAGTGAGTTTGGTTTTGGTTTTGGTATCTCTATGGAAGTAGATTGCCCAATCTTTCTTCCAAAGAGTAGCTGGTGGGTTTGAACCACCAGTTTTTTGGTTAGCAGTCAAGTTGCTGTCAAGTCGATTCTGACTCATGGCAACCCCACGTATGTCGGAGTAGAGCTGTGTTGCAAGAGGTTTCCAGTGGCTGACTTTTTGGATGTAGATTGCCAGAACTTTTCTTCCGAGCCACCTCTGGGTGGATTTGAACTTCCAGTCCTCACTAGCAGCTGAGTGCATTAACTGTCTGCACTCCCAGGTACTCCCCATTCACTGTTAAAAATGTTAAAGTAGAGGATATTAGAAATAAAATGTGTTCATTCTGTTGTTTTAGTGTATTTCTCATTTTCTGTGCATGGTATTTTATACCATTGAGATAAGTAACTTTTCTTTAGGCTTATGAAAACATAGTCATTGCATACTGCCTCTAGGCGGTAACACAGTGTAAAAATCTCGGAAGGAAGATGGGGCAATCTACTTCCATAGTGATGCTGCCTTGGAAACCCAAGGGGGGTCGCTATGAGTCAGGTCCGACTCGATGGCACATAACAACAACAAGTTCAACTAAGTAGTACTCCAAGCTCAGAGTTCAATGTTGGTGAGACTTTTTTTTTCTTTGTCTTCCACATCTCCTTTCACCACAAGTTTTCCCTTCTTAGACTTCATTTGCCCTGAGAAAGGGCTCAATACCAAAAGGGAGTAGAATGTCTACTGAACCAAGTTAAGACCCTGTTGGAATGTTTGGGCTTTTCCTTTCCTTATTAATGAGGTCGTATTAGGAGCACTAGCTCTGGACCCCAGGTTCCCTGGGCACAAATCTCTCAGCACCTACAAGTACTAGCTGGGTGATACTGGGCAGACTGTGCTTAATTTCCTCCTCTGTGTAAAATAGATAAAGCACTGAGAATAATACCTGGCACATACTAAACACTCAGTAAATGTTAGATATTTTTACTGGCCACCGCCCATCGGTTAGTTTGTCATAGTGTGCTGGCTTGCATGTTGCAGTGGTGCCGGAAGTTCTGCCACTGTTGTTTCAGTACCAGCAGGGTTACCCAAGGTGGGTAGGTTTCCTCAGTTTCCAGATAAAGATAGACTAGGAAGAAAGAACTGTTGATCAGAAAATCAGTCAATTAAAACCCTGTGGATCACAACAGAACATTGTTTAACTTGCTTGCAATGGACACGTCATCAGGAGGGGGACAGTTGCTTGAGAAGAGCATTGTGTTTGGTGAAGCAGAGGGCGCTGAGGACGAGGAAGAACTTGGGTGAGATGGATTGGCACAACAGCCACAATGATGGACTTGAACACACCAATGATTGTGAGGATGGCAAAGGGCCAGGCAGTGTTTCATTCTGTTGTCCATCAGGTCGCCATGAGTCTGAGTTGACTCAGCTGAAGCTTTCTGTCTGTTTTTATTAGTGCATTATTATTATTCATGCATTAGAAACAGCCACAAGACAGAGATGATGCTGAAGGAGTATGATATATAATGATGATAAGAACAAAACGTTTCTAGATAATTTCTCAAACTTATCTGGTGGAGAATATGTAGTCAAGTGAATCTGTGCCTCATCTATGTGGAAACAGACATTGTGAAGTGTTTGGATCAGATGTTAGATTCTTTTTTTATCCACTACTTTTTTTTTTTTTTTTTAATGCTCCAGTTGTTATGTCTTGATGATTGAGAGTCTTAATTGTGCCCTTTTAACTGTTCTTCAGAATTTTTGAAAGCATCCTTGCTCACTACCAAAAATATGTTCTGCAATCTTCATTTACACTAGGTAGATACACTCCTTGGAGAGAACAGTCATGGGAGAAAGAAGGGGTGTGTATGCACAGAGAGACAGCTCAGGGGGCAGGAGTGCATAGAGGGAAGGACACAAGGAAGAGGTAACTATGGGGAGGAAGTAGGGGAGGAACTGTTGCATTGTGGTAAATTGTAGTCAGTGTCATGAGACAAAGTGTATGTGATCTGCTGTATGGAAAGTGAATTTGCTCTGTAAACTCTCACCCAAATCACACACACACACACAAGGGTTCTGGAATCTTGAAGACTAACTATTCAAGATATGAATCCTTTTAATGGAAAAGAGCATTACAAACAATCTAATGGGTGCACGAGATCATTTCTCATGGGTGCTAATGTTAGGCCATGTTAGAGAGAGGACACAAAATATTTATGAGTTGACCTTGATCATTTTTATGTTAGTTAGACCACCTGCCTGTTTGAAAAATTTTAATCCTTCACCCAAACCAACATTATACTTCTTTTTAATTTAATGAGCAGGTGGTTATTTCTTAATCTCAAATTTTGATTAAAGCGAATGTTACTTATCACCGTAAAGACAAATCTGAAAAAACGAGGTCAATATCACACTGATACTAAAGATACTGAGTAAATGATAAGATTTAACTTCACAAATGTCTTCAGTAGCTGTGCTTTGAAAACATCCCACTAATGAAGCACAGTTACATTATTTTGTTTTGAGTCATTTGTAATAATTCTTTTTCCTTCCTGCTGCTAAAAAGAGAATGGAATATTTGACTCAATAAAGGCTCTGTGAAATTTTATAAGGACGATAGAACCAGTTTCTGTGTCTGCACTCTGAGTTTCTCTCATTAGCTGTTGAAATATTGGTCAATAAAATGGCCTTTAAGAGATTTGAATCAAATATGACAAATACCTTATTCTTCCTCACCTGTGATTTTAATATTTGTCTTTATCTCTTGCACTTTGGTCATCTTGTCAGAAGGGACCAGTCCCTGGAGAAGAATATCATGCTTGGTAAAGTAGAGGATCAATGAAAAATGGGAACATTTCAACGAGATGAATTAACACAGTGGTTATGATGATAGGCTCCAGCCTGGCAACGATTTTGAGGATAGTGCAGGACCAGGTAGTGTTTTTGTTCTGTTGTACATAGGGTCACTATGAGGAAGAACCGACTCAATGGTGCTTAACAACAACAACCTACTCGTCTCAGATAGTCAAGTTTTAGATGACTTGTGTGGCTGATAGAATCTGGTGAGGCCCCCAAGACTCTGGCCCCAAGTCACCCTTCAGGTCCGGAACTGAACTCACTCCTGTGTCTTCCTTAGAATGAATAATCATGGGAGAACAGAAGGGCAGTATTTGCACAGGGAGATACCTCAGGGGGCAGGAAGGCATAGGAAAGAAGGACACAGGGAAGAGGTAACTACAGGGAGGAAGTTACATTGTGGGGAATTGCAGTCAATGTCATGAGTGTGTGAACTGCTGTATGGAAAATGAATTTGCTCTGTAAACTTTCACCTAAATCACAATACAAATTTTTAAAATAATTTTTTTTTTTTTTTTAAAGAATGTGTTTGCACCTGTGTGGGAGACCTAGGTTAGATTCTGGCCCAAAGCGCCTTATGCACAGCTACTACCTGTCAGTGCATAATGCTGAGCAGGTTTCAGAGAAGCTTCCACACTAAGACAGACTAGGAAGAAAGGCCTGGTGATCTCCTTCCAAAAATCAATTAGTGAAAAGCCTAAGGATCACAATCATCTTGTCCACAGCTGATCATAGGGATGATGCAAGACCAGGCCATGTTTCATTCTATTGTGCATGGGATTGCCCTGAGGCAGCTAACAGCACTGAGAGAGGACAGATAGACTTGGTAGGATGAAGAACTTGATTTTGCCTTTTGTCTCTAGTTCCTGAAAATAGCACTGTAAATTTTTGAGCAATCAAGGTACCTTTGTTTTTCTTAAATGTGTGCAAATGTAGTAGAAGCCCCAAAACCATCCCTAGCAACTGGCTTCCAGAAGGGAGAGGGGCATGTTGCAGTCATGCGTATTCATTGCTTCCATTGATGATGCGTATGCATTGAGATCCTAGTCATTCATATACATTGTTATAAGAGGCCCTGAACACAGACATGATTAGACTTCCTGGATTGGTGAGTCTATCCATGCATGGGAGCGGGTGGACTGCTCTTAGGAACAGTGTAGGAACAGTGGAAGCCTCTTGCCGGCACCTCCTCCCAGAACTTGCCAGTTGCATCTTTTTTTTTTTTTTTTTTAAATTGTGATTTGGGTGAAAGTTTACAGAGCAAATTCACTTTGCATACGTTTTCTTATGACATTGACTACAATTTACCCCAATGCAACAGCTCCCCTCCCACTTCCTCCCAATAGTTACCTCTTCCCTGTGTCCATCCCTCCATGCACTCCTGCCCCCTGAGTTGTCTCCCTGTGCATAACCAGCCCTTCTTTCTCCCATGATTGTTCTCTCCAAGGAGTGTATCTACCTTAAGTAAATGTTCAACTCATATGTCTGTCTTTTGTTTGGCTGGAAGTCACAGATGTGGGTTCAGTTCCAGACCTGAAGGGCAGCTCGGGGCCATGGTCTCAGTGGTTCCATCAAGCTCCATCAGACAAGCAGCCAGCTGCATCTTTTTTGCTTATATCTGGTTATGATAAATGGATAATTTTAAGTACAGGTAATAGTCTCTGTGAATTTTGTGAGCCATTATAAAGAATTAATGAGCCCTCGGGGAGCAGTGAGCCAGCAGAGGCATACAGGACAAAGTCCTAACTTGTGAAGACCCAGCTCCGGGTTGTATTAGAGCTTAAATTCTAAAGCACTTGGGATTGTGGAAGACTGTAGTCTACAGTGGGAGCCCTAACTCCATTTTGAGGCTTGACATAAGTTACAGATGTCATTTGGTGTCTTTCTGACCATTAAACAAACCAGCATTGTGGCTGTGCACAGACAAGTTTTGTCCCTAGGACAGACCTGGGGAGGGGCAGTTTGCCTTCAGGAAGAGTATGTTGAAAGTAGATTATGCTCACCCATGGAACTAGGGAACTTGCCTGAGTGTGTCCTTTTCTAATTTAAATTAAGGTTGGGGTCTTAGTATTATTTGGTAGCCACCTTGTGGCTAATTCTCAGGCTGCATGGTCATGAGTCACAGCCTATCTAAATCACCACTTATCTAGGTTGTCAAGGCCCAGAACCAATCCTGTAACTCTTTCCTATCTTCAAATCCCTATCATGGTCTTTTCCCTGCTTCTGTAATCCTGCCTGCAACAGTGATGCATCTATCTACCACCAGTCATGATTTTGTGATGATTTAAAATAACATATAATTAGCCTCATGGCCATGACGTTATGGACTCCATTCATATTTCTTATGCTGATGGTTTTCCTAATATAGGATGATTGTCTTTGTTCTCTCCAAGGCTTAATAAAAGTGTCTCTATTGAACCTGTTTGAATTTACCACTATTACAGGGAGATCAGAAGGAAGACTGGGCAATCTACTTCCATAGAGATACTGCTTTGGAAACCCAAGGAGGGGTTGCTATGAGTCAGATCCGACAGCAGTGAATTTGGTTTTTTAGTTTTAGGGTCAGAGGGAGAAGGTGCTACATGGGTGGCTGGTATCAGGATAATGGAGAAGTGGGCAAGTGGGGATATGCATTGTTTAGGCATTTTGGAAATTAGCCTTATTGTAATTATTACTTGTTTGGAACCCACCCAGAGGCACCTTGGAAGACAAGCCTGGTGGTGTGCTTCTGGAAGTTCACAGCCTTGAAAACTCTATTGGGCAGTTAGTTCTACTTTGTACACATGAGGTCCCCATGAGCCGGAATCAAATTAAGTGAAACCAAATGCATGCATTTAAGAAACTTGAAGGCTAACTGATAATGTAAACTTGATTCTAATCATTACATTGTCATTCATAAGCCAGAACTAGTTGGATGAATCAAATTAGAGTCAAACTGAGGAAGTTTCCAATGAGTGGAATTGGCTGTGTTACACGTCCAACATTTAGAGGCTCATTGAAAATTGAGAGAGAGGACCACAGAGACTTTTTCTGGTCAGAATAGATAGAACAGTTATAAGCACTCTGTGGATAAGGTGCCTGTAGATGACCTCTAGGCTCAGACTAAACTACCCCCACATTAGCATCAGCCTTTCCCCAGAGGGAAGGTCTGTACTTAATGTCAGGGCCAGCTCTACCTTCCCTGAGCACAACCTTTCTGAGTCCTTCCCTTCCTGGCTGTGCTCATCTCTGTGGTCTGTGTCTTTGTTGTTGCCTCCATCACCATTCTTAGTTACCACTTTCACTGGGTAACTTCACAGGTCTTCTTTCGGTTCTTTTTTTAATAGCTTGTCTTGTGGCTTACTGCTTCTCTCAGTGGTCTCAGCTTTTGTAGGAGAAGCTTGACCAGTTAAGGCAGTTTCAAGCCTGTTCTTTAATTTATTAATGTTTCCATTGAATCTAAAAT